AACTTCATGGGTCTCAGACAAAGATCTTCAGATGGAAATCACATCCTTTAAGGGAAAACTGATGCTCTAGTAGAAATACAGCATTCCTACTTACATGAAATTTTAAGTACTGCAGGAATATTAAATGTTTTGTTTTGTATGCTGAAATTAAGCATCTCCTTTAATGAACTTCAGAGTTCATTCTTTCAGCAATGCTAACTTGCATACATTTTAGCCATAACTATGAAGCAAAAACATTTGTGGTGAAAGTGAGATTACCAGGATAGGGGGTCCGACTCTTATCTTTTTCAACTTCAATATATAGACCATTATATAGCACAGTGGTCCTGACTGGGTTGAGGAGTATTACTTCGCTTTTTCTTTCAAATATTTGTCGTCAAGAAAACCACATGGTAATTCCCAAGTATCTGCTTAAAACATTTGGTACAGAAATAACACAAATAAGTTCTCAGAATAGTAACCACTTCTCATTTTCTCCCAACCACATGGTCCTAATTCCTCTTTCAGTGTTAAAACAACCTTTTATAGGAATCAAGCCTTTCATCTGGGACAGGGACACCACAGGCATATCAATTGCTGGATGTGATTCACTAACTGACTATTACCATAAAAAATTCAAAAGCCTTTATCACTCCACTTACAGAAGCAGGTATCTCTTCTTGGAGAAGCAGCTTTTTTTCATTTTTTAAAAAAATATGAACAAAGAATTAGAAAGAGGCATCATCTCTGCAATGTTCTCTTTGAAACTGAGTTCCCTTTCACACCTGAAAACAATAGGAACTGATAGCAAACACTACTTGTTTTACTTGAAGGATAGTACCAACACACACACTTTGACTAGTTACATTCAGGGGTGTTTTGTCTTTACTATGTTACTGCATGCTGCCTATAACTACATCTTAAACTATTATTGTGTAAGAACTCTGATTTGACTCTAACTCCTACCACTAAACCTATAAAAACATCTGTAGACATCTGCAGGGGCAAAGAAAGAAATCTTTCCAATGACAGTCAGATGCCTCCTGGTAGAACATATCCAGTATCACAAAGTTGTTGCTATTCATCCTGAAATTTTCAAGATTGCTTGATTTACCATTAGAAATCTGCATCTATCACTTAGCACTATAGCAAGCCAATTGTTAAAAAAAAAAAAAAAGGAAGAAATCATGATTACCAACATCTTTAATAAGCATTATCTATTTAAAAAGCATGCAAAGAAAAGGTTTTGTAGTAGTAACAGCAAGCCTTTGATAGTTGCTATGTGATTCAGGTGCTTAAATGCAGACCTCCAGTGCCATTTTAGGTGTTCATGCTAACTATAAGCTACTTGGCCTAAAATATGGCAGCAATTAGTGTTAACACAACAGAAAACTCTTCTGCCCACATCCTGTCCTTGCCTCCCCACAAATAACCAAGAAGAGCTGCTGCTGTTGCCTGATTTAAGACTCCTAGATAGAACACAAACCGCATAAAGCTAAGGGAGATGTCCTTTGAAAGGAATGCAACAGTTGGGACTGGAAAAGCCACCAGATAAAAAATTAAGACATCGTCGGCTGCCAAAAGACTCGTAAGAAAGAGACCAGAAGAACAAACCTGGAGACACTCTGACTTGTAACCTGAACTGAATGTGCAGTCTGTCATCATCAGGTTCTAAAAACTCTCAGGACAGAAATCACGTTCACAGTCACTGTGCTGCCACACAACTGGTTGGTTGTGCACATATTCCTTGTGCATGCGTGTATATAAACACACACATCTCCATAAAGCATGCATGTTAGCAACCAAGACAAAGGCTGTCCCTTCTCAAACTGCTCAGCTACCTCTATTTAGATTTATCCTGCCTGTCCCCCCCCCCCCCCCCCTTTTTTTTTTTAACTTCAGAAGAATGCAGGCCTTCAGTAAACCCTATTTCGTATCTAACAGCTCCATGTTGACAGCTCAGATGCCCTACAGCACCTTCATGTAAGTGTCCTTCATGCAAGATTCCAAACAGCCCATGTCAGTATCAAATCACTTGCTCTAAGCCTCTTAGTTTTTAAATATAATTTTAAGGTTTTGTTGGCAAGCTCTGGATTGTTTCCTCAAATGAGTTTTTAAAACATTAATTCCACTTGTCTTCTTTTACATCCTAGAACACTGCATATCCAAATTCAGCATTTGTTTTGCAACTGTATGCTGAGCAAATACTACTTGGAAAAAAAAAAACCAACAGAGTGAAATGCAAAACTTGAAAGAAATTCTAAGCCTCAATATTTTGTCACAGTATCTTAGATGTCCAACTCTGTGCAACTCATAGAACTCAATGTTCTGCACCTGTAACAAGCTAGATCTTTATTTACATCCTTTCCTCACTAAACACTACACAAAACAAAGCCAGAACTCCAAAATTAGCCTTCATTAAATGCATCTTCTAAGCAGTGAGCTGCACGGGTTTTTTTGCCACAAGACAGCCCTCTAACCAGAGGAAAAGTTTACTCCCGCTCCACGGTCACCTCCCCACCCTACAACTCCTTGGCACGAAAACACACCAAAATCTGTAGCCTGAAAGTTAGCATGGTCACTCCTGATGGCACCTCTAAACTATTTTAGGGCTGTGGAGTTTGGGGGTTTGTTTTATGAACTGCTCTGCGATGACTTCTAAACCAGTGTTTCCTCCTCACAATGAAGTACAACTTCTATTTTTGTACTTCAATTTAAAGGACTGATAAAATTCACTGAGAAGTAAGTCACATACCGGTTGCAGTCACAACGTACAAGTGATAAACACCACAGTTGCTCTCTAGCTACAACTTCCAATACTTCCTCCTTTCAGAAGTAAGTTTCTTAGGACTAACTGCTATTTTCAAAGACATCCTTAATTTCAGTTTACTTCTAACTTTCAAGGCTTCCAATAAACTTCTGATCAGAAGTACATTGAACAAGAATCCACACACATATATTCATTCCTCAGGATTTCAGGCTCCTTGGGTTTAGTTAACATTACTGCCAACTTCACAGTAACAACACTAACCGTGAAACATGAAGGTAGCATGATGTACCAGTACAAAAAGGACAGAGAACTAACACTACTGTTCTGAATGGCAGCCAGCTAATCTTTCAGTGCTGCAAAAAATTATATTCAGCATCCTAAGCTGCTACAAATCCTATTCTTTCTTCAAGGCCCAGAAGTCCAGCTCAATTTTCTTAAACAACATAGCAGCAGCAACTGCTTTAAGAGCTTGCATTAAGCAGGCCTGAAGGCTGTCATTAACACCCAGCACACACAAATAAGTCCCTAAGGAACTGGAGCACAGAGGTTATTTCCTGATGTTTTAAAGTGATTATGCCCAGAATATTTAACAAACTACTTGACTTTACTTCCTAGAACTCCGTAAGAGAAAGAAGTGGAATAGCGTGATCACGATTCTGCAAAGCAGATACATTAAAAAAATTCTGCATCCAAAAAATCCACACTCGTTGGTTAGAGAAGATGAAGCATACAGATCAACTTCTGACCCTACCGGAAGATTCCTGGAGTGCCTTAGGCCAGTCACATACCTTATTATTCATCTGCAAACCAAAATCGTACATATATTTGCAAAACAAAATCGTACATATATTCTTCCCACTTTCGCTTTGAGAAATTTACATTCCAAGTAGGTGAAATAAATGAGGTAATACTCAATGATGTTTGCATTCAAGAATGCCAAGTGCTGTAGACTTCAAGGCACTTTTCTTACACAGAGAACTAATTAATCATCAGCTACAGAGCATCGCTTTCAGTTCAGCAGGGT